TTAACTTTGTAACTGTTTGTATGTCACAAGAGAAGTGAATTTACAGATACGGAGCACCAACAAGCCTATATCAAGGACAAGCGGCCATTGTCAGCAAAATAATTCATCAGTCTAACCCTTGTGCATGTACTCTCTGAGAGTATGTGTCTGTGTCTGTGTCTGTGTGTGTGTGTGTGTGTGTGTGTGTGTGTGTGTGAGAAGCAGGAGGGGGATGGCTCTGAGAGTTTGGTTTACCCAGGGGCTCAGTTTTAGTTGTAGGACAACTTATTCAACACAAGCAGAGCAAGGCCCGTAACGAGAGGCAGAGGCTTGAAGGAGATTTGGTGGAGAGGGAGCCCCTGACTGAATATAAAAAGGGGGATCAGCCTGTGAGAGCGGAGCGGCGGGAGCAGAGGGAGCTGTCGGCACACAGCGGTGCTCTCCTCAGTCTACAAAATTGGAACTTAAGTCCAGAAGCTGCATAGATGCTGCAGCTTTTTCCAGTATTTGTAATGCAGTTATTGTCTGTGGTGAACCGCAACTTTGGCATGTTGTTTGTCTCAAGTTTGTGTCCTATTCTTTTTTTGTTTTTGTTGTATTATTTTTTTGCACGGACGTGCTGTAAATTTACATGCATATATTGCCATTTCATTATTTCAGCAAACATTTTGACGTGGAACAGCTTTCTAATATGACCTCAAGACAGTTTATAAAACAGCTTTGTGGCGTTTTACTGCATCACAGCAACTGTCTGTCCCATTTATGTGCTCATTTTAAGGTTGAACCACACGCTTCCCTGTCCATTACATATCTGGAGACCTGATTGCTGACCCTTTCATACTCTTTTTCAATATACTGAAAGTTGGCTATTTAATTAATAGTTCAAAAGTAATCGATTGATCGACTATTTGTTCTGTTCTCATTAGAGACGGGGTTCCCTTACTGTTTAATTTGCGCTACCTCTCCTAAATTAACTAGGTGAACATTGTACTAAGTAGTTTCCCAAACAGGGCTAAAACTAACATTTCATTATCTAATAATTGGTTAATCGCTTGATCATTTAGTTTTTAAAAGTCATTGTTTTGTCTGAAACCCAAATACCCAATATTCAGAACATGATTTTCAATTTAAACAGCAAATCCTCGTATTTGGCATTTTTTCAAAACACTTTATTGTCGTCAACCCATTTTTTGGTCAATCGACTACCTGATTAACACGCTAAAAATTTCACCTGTAATTGTCTCTAAAATTAAATGAACTCCGAAGGACATCCTCATTAGCCTGTTCAACGTTTAATGAACTCTGGACACACACATTTACCTGGTTAAAGTTTTCTCCCTCTATATTAGGGAGGGGCTTGTTCACTTTGCAGGAGAGACTCAAGATAATAACCAGCCATTTTTCCATCCTAAATGTAGCTTATTAGTGATTTTTTCCCATCACTACATGACTGAATATTTGTGGGGAAGGATGGAATGCCATTGTTGTCAACTTCAGCTAACATAACACAACAGTTGAGCATGCACAGCCCACTTCTCCTATACAAACTGCATCTTAAGGCTACCCATTTCACTTGTGTCGCATGAATGTTTCCACTTCATCCACTGAAATTTAAAGCAGATGGTCATCTGTAAACATACATAACATAATGCCCGACGCGTAAACAATATCAGTGACTGCAACTTAAAAACAAGCACCAGTTCCAACTAAAATTTACAGTATTAAAGACACACACACACACACACACACACACACACACACACACACACACACACACACACACACACAAAGTTTCCACATATGATTGCAGGGATTCTCACTGACCAAAGGGACTCCAGAGAGAGGATTTCACCTCTCAAACCTGATTAAATATTACCAGAGTTGATGAGGAAAATAATTCACAGTTACTTCTCAGACCACTGCCACTAACAACGCAGCGTAGCCACATTGCCGCAGATAAATTACCCAGCTGGTCACAGCAACATCATAACACTTTCCACTTGCTGTAATCAAAGAAAAAATAAAGTCAAAAAAGCAAATCCAGCTGTCATCTTCTTTTTTAGTTCATTTGCAGCCATGAGTGGATCTGTGCCTCATGTATTCACCTCCACTTCAGCAGATTTACACAGTCATAGACACACCTCTACCGCCCCCTACAGACCACAAGAGGAAGTGTCAACTCACAGAGCAGGGATTTGTTATTCTCATTATAAACTCTTGGGGATCTGATTTCCTCAAGCCCATCACTCGCAGATAAGTGGCGAATGGAAATCAGCCAGCATGTCGCTCCTCATCTCCATTCCCCTCTGGTAAAAGCCCTTTAAGAACAGCCATGAAAAACGAGCTAGAGACTTTGTGAAAATGCATCAGAGAATTGGGGAGGTGGTGTGGCGGGAGAGAAAATAAAAGAGGGTGAAAAAGAAGGACAGAGGGAGACAGACGGAGCGAGTTGCCAGCATGTAAAATTGGAACAACATGAGCTCATTCCCCAATAACATGGGGCACAGAATGGGAATGAGAGACAGACAAAGACGGAGAGAGACGGAGATGGGGAAAGGAGGGTGGCAACAAGGAAGAAAAAAACAGAAAGTAATGCACATCTACCAGAAGGAATGATGGGGTTGTTAGTGGTTTGTGAACCAGATGAAACATTTTAACCAATTTGATTGTTTGTGAAAGAAATCATTCTGATCGAAACTCCAATTGCTGCCAACTGGGCGCCTGGCGTGTCTCAGGGTAATGCAGCCTGACGTGTCGGGGTAAGAGGAGAGGCTTTAGAGCCAGGAGGAGCAGATGGGGGAGGTCAGTGCTCACCCCACCGACTTCAAACACGGGGAAGTGTAAAAACAGACTATTTTAGGGGCTAAAACAACTAACGACAGGATTAGAGGAAGTCCGCTAAGTGGCCTTGAGATGTTGCAGCTTACTTTGCCCAGTACAAGGCTGAGGCAAAGTAGCTGGCTGCCTTACCAATGCAAAAGATTTATATATAACTTTTAGTGTTTCTTTTAACCCCCAAGAAGAACTGGTATGAACTGCAATGTAGGTCACAATAAGTGTGATAGTTCTGAGACTTTATCTGACTATTATCTGACTAAACCGCACCTGTCTGGTACAACAAGCCGGTTAAATTAAACACTCTGAGTTGTTTGCAGTACTTCTTGAAGCAGGTCCATTACACAGAAGAGGTAGATCCTGAAGAATGTACATATCTGAAGGAACACCTATGATAAAGTACACCAACCTCAAGGTTCACTTGCTTTTTTTTTGGTCTGGAGCTTTAACAATTGGCAATACATGAAGGGAAGATCGTAGCACCTGTTTCTGTCACGTGACCTAATTGTGTACTAGGGTCACAATAACACCTAGAGTAAGTTCCATTTTCTAAAGTAGGGTTGTTGTATGCAGTCAAAAGCTCCAAATCTAGAGCTCGAGTTTAGAACATTTTACAGAAACACTATAAATATTGTATAATCTTAACCTCACAGGATTTAGTGGCATCTAGCAGTGAAGTTGCAGATCACAACTAACTGAACACCGCTCGCAGTGTTAATGTTAAACACTGATGCATGAGAGGTTTTGGCACAAAATGAGAAACAGGAATGATCATTGTGTTGTGGTCTGAGAAAAAAGTGATCGCAGCTGGATTACAAAGGACTGGGATTACTTTTTGTTGAAATATTGACAGTTAAAACAATCAGATTACTTTCCATTTCAATGCATGAACACAAAGAATAAATGTGTTATAGAGTTAGCTTTCATATACGTAGTATGTCACTAATTAGATTTTTAAATGATGTTTTCTGTTCTGATATTTAGTTTAGGAACATGCACAGTATGTGTGTGAAAATAAATATCAATTACAGGATTTTATATTATGCTGTATTATTTTTGTACATCGTGTAATCTCGTGTGGGATGGGTCTTTTTGATGGTATGACACAGAGATTAAACATGAATCAATTCTCGTTCAAAAATATGTTATATTATATTAAATATTCCCAAAAATAAGAGATAGAAAAAGCACTAGTATTGAAAGGAACAGCCCTAAATGTGATAAACTTGCCCATTCTGTTTATCAAGTGCTTTAAATTAGCACTTCTTTAAGTTAATAAAACACTTGACAATTATTTCTCGTCGCAATACAAAGATTCACATACAGTAACACAGCTACAGGTAGGAACAAAGAAAAATCCATGAGCCTCATGAAACCAGTGAAAGCAAGGAGGAACCTGCCCCCTGCTACACCTGCAACCAATCAGCATATATACACAGATGAATTTGTGTGTTTCCGATGGTTAGCGAGATGGCTGTGCGTCTGGCGGTCTGCGTCCTGATCCCCATCAAACAAAACCTCCAGCCAGCTTACAACAGCAGAACACAGAGGCTGACAGATTTCTACAAAACTAGAAGAAAAAAAATGAGTTCCATCGCAGACTCTTCCAACCGTCTGGAATAAAAAACTACAAAGACTGAAGCAGATGTCGGCTGCCTGTGTGTATGTGTGTGTTCTGTCTTTGGTGGTAAACTGAACAAAAACCCAAATAAGCACTTGCATATTTGGTACAATATTGTGATCCCAGTGATTATTTATGACTGTTAATATTAATAATTTGAGTGTACAAAATATTTTTAGCTACGACTATCCAAATTTTGACTTAAGTTTTTTAACGACAGCAGATGTTTTAGTGCTGCCAATATGGAAAAAAATCTTATATTAAATATGGAAACTAAAATCAGCCCTACCGTGTGTTCATCTCTGTGCGTGTTGGAAATCATCACAATATAAATCACATGCAACACAGCTTCTATTTTAAATGATAACCTGCTATACACTATGTTACCTGACCTGATTTAATTGTCCCATTACCTAAATGTAATTTTAGCCAAGTCTGGACCCTGAATTAAACTAAAGCAAGTGACAAAATAACCTCATGTTACAAAAATGTTCTGAACTCAAAAGGTCTAACATTGGCGCTAACATATCAGAAGTACATCGAAAATACACACACACACACACACCTGATTAAAGGTTTTAAAGTGAAGCTCTTTGAAAATGGCATTGCGGTTCTCCATCTCCACCCAGCCTGTGGCCCTGAGCTCCATCAACAGCTGATCCCGGTCTGCAGGGGAGAGCCAGTGGGCATCTGACGACTGGAGACACACACAAAAGGCAGAATGTGTACAACATAACTGTGTGGTTCTTGTTGTAGTTGGAATAGAGCACTTTTTCTCTCAATGAATCTGCTGTGCTGGGCTCTATAAGTGGTATTAAATGTGTATTAATTAATGTATTAAACATGTCATTTGTGGTTTTTGTTACAGTTGTAAAACAGGGAAGTACATCCTTCAACATCACATCTCTAAAAGTTACTTTTATCTGATAAATAACAATATTAAAAGTAGTTATTAGTATTTATTTTTATGATGATTTCTTCTAACCTTAGGTCACTTTAATCCAAACGTACTGATTCAGTCTTTATTGTCACTGTGGAACCACTAATTTTGAGTTTATTTATTCACATTCATTCATTGTAGCAGTTACCTGAGTGCTATTAGTGCTGCGTCCACAAGGTGGCAGCGTAGCACCAGTAATGAGTACTAACGCTGACCTAATGAAGAACCAAACAAGTCAAGCAGTAGCCACTCATAAATTAAATATTACTGTGATGTTCATATATGACTGTATTATCACTGTGAGTGAATTCTCGGTATGTAGCTACCTTTTAAAAACCCGCACCAAACTTCTTTATTAATTCTGAATGTATTAGATATTGGCTTACTTAGCTGCAAATTCACACTCACAATAATATTAAAGTTACCCTAGTCTGACTTGTTACAGCCCACTCTTCAATTCGGCACCTTAATAATTCACACATCAGAACTTAATGCCCAAGTATTAAACTTTATGACATCGCAAATGCTCACAGAATGACGAAATATACAGTAACGTTACCCAGTTGGGAGGAAAGAGCACAGCTGTGCTCATGAAGTTGAAATTTTAGGTTTATATTATCTGGTGAGTTAGATCAATCAAAGTATGTGCGCCGAATTGAAGAAAAGCTCAGTAGCAACTAACAAATACCACAAATTCAGCTTAATAGATATCTCTGTTTACCTATTGTCATGTAGAAATTTAATTCAAAGTGTTTCGACTAGAGTTTGGCGTACGGTTTTTTTATACGACGAAGAGGGCGCCTCTTCCACGGGGCTATCGCCACTTGCTGTTTCAGACCCTACAAGTTTGTGTCATTGGATTACACACACACAACACACGTACATAACTCCAGCCTCGTAGATAAGATGCTTATGAATGCTAATGCTAAAACACGGAGTGTCACTGCAGCACTCACCATTTTAGACGAGTTGTTCCTGGCGGGCGGAGGCAGCAGCAGCAGCCGGATCAGACGGCTGCAGGGCCATGAGCTGCTCGGCCTCAGGCTAAACATTAACCCAGACATAAGAGGGGCTTTGTCAGCTGTCCACCTTCCCTACCACCAACCTCTTCTGCTCTCTGTGTCCTCTCCTATCCTCTCACACGTTACCATAGCTGTTCAGTTTACTGCCTGACTAAAATTCTGTATTATGATAGGAGTCTGGTTGTGATAAGGTTATGTTTCATAGGTCTTATAAAACAGATCCTCCAGTCAGTCATAATGACAGAATAAAAACAAAATAAATTATATTTCCAGTAGAATATATAATAATTACTTAAGACACCCATTAAATATGCATTTATATAATATGATTCATTTGAAGAATACCATTTATGTCAACTTAAAAAGGTGAATGAAACTGGTGGACGACCCTCCACTGCAGCTTCCGCTTTATGGGACCCTGTTCTTGTCTCACAGCTTTCTTTGTACTTTGTACTTCAGGATTATGTTTTTTTTTATAAAGAACAGAAGAGAAGCTACAGAGAAAACAAGAACTCAAGCCCGTAGCTTTGACTTTGCTTAGCCACAAGCACCGAAGTGTTAACAGCTACAAGTCATTATAATCTTTATTATAAATCGCAATGGCTCACATAAATTAATTGTTATCCATCAAAACACTTGAAGCATAACAAATTAGTTAATTTAAAAAAAAAAAAAAACTAAATCAAATAATTGTTTACATCCTGTGTGTGTTTTCAGTCCTGATGCTCATGCTCCTGTCCCGGTATGAGCCAGCGGATGCTGTCTGTCCGCAGGATGGCGTAGATAGTGAAGCCTGTGATGAAGAGGATAGAGAAGACCAGCAGCCAGTCGATGCTCTTCACCGGGACGCTGGGGAGGGGGCCGACACGGTCTTCGTCCATCACCGTTCTGTCTGATCCGGCGTCAAACCCTGGAACACGTAAACAGCTTATCAGGAAATACGAGGGCGAGATGAGCAGCGTTGGAATACATACAGATCTAATAGTTCAAAGTGTTAGAGCAATGGTCCTGAACTGTTTGACGGCAGCTAATGACCTCTTGTAGAAGTGTATTCATAGAGGAAAAGAATGCTCTTAAGTGTCACAAACTAAAAATTATTATTATTATTTATAAAAAAAAAACAGACATTATTTATATTATACAAAAGGAATTGATTTTTTTCCTGTCCCACAAGACACCTTGGGCCCCCTGTCCAGAGCCCCAGACCAAGACCTTAACCTCTGTCCCTGAGAACAAGAGGTTTTCACTGAAACTGTTTGTACTCAGTTTGTACCTGTCTGGTTAGCGATGAAGGAGGTGAGCGTCTCCAGTGTTCTGTCAGTGTGGTTGAAGCGAGCCATGGGTTTGGCCCCCTGGAACAACAGGATGTTGGGCACTGCCACGGTCCCAAACCTCGTGGAGAGGCTGGTAGAAGATGAGACGGGCGAGACACAGAAAATTACAAATGTTGACTCAGATTTAGATATTTACCTGAGCTGGTCTAATACACATAATCATTTATCTAAACACAGAAACATTATGATATTTAATTTTGGATAAGACTCTTTTAAAAAGGGTGTTGATTAAACTCTGTGGTGTTTTTTGAGGCTGCATTATATTTAAGGGTGTTGCGATGTTTTTCAAATACGTTTATCTAAGCTACATGTTTATTTTTTCTTTCTTTTTCTGGAGCTGCACAATTTGGTAAAAACATTGTATTGTGATTATTTTGACAGATATTGCTATTTCGATTCACAGTTGTGTAGGAATTATTATTTTTCATCAAAACTTGAATTTTCACTGTGAAATAAAATATTAAAATCATGAATATGTGAAATATTTTGTTTTCTTAAACCTGGAGAACAAGATTTGTAGACCAGGGCACCTCTGCAGCACTACAGTACTTCATTATAACGCTGCTTTGTCACAGATTTAACTTTCTTCAAAACATTACAGCTCTTGTGATTTGCATATTTTGCTTCTGCAATTCACATATTACACTTGAGACACAATGAGAGAAATCCAAAATGTAAAACTATTTCTGTTGAACTGCTCACAACCCACAATGACACTGAGGCCATCTATGATAGATAAAAGATAGGGAACCACTAGTCTAAGGATACAGACGGTTTTTGGTAAGATTATTAACAGCCAAAAGTACCCAAAAAATTATTATTATTATTATTATTTTGCAGGTTATATTTTGGTCACATGCACACACATACTTTTCATTTCATAACACTTTCCTAATCTAATTAGCTAGTTTACTCGTGGCTAATAAAACTGTAAATTATATTTCTACCAGATAAAGGCTGATGATACCTGAGCCACAGACCACAAAAGGTAGTAAAATCAGAAATCCCTTAATGCCCCTTTGAACTTTCACAGAGGGAGGGATGATACACATTAAGCCAAAAAAGATCATTCACCTGCTGTGCTGCGAGGCATCCAGTGCCAGGAAGTGCATGCTGGGAAAGACTCGGGGCAGGGCGTTGAAGTGAGGTGCCAGACTGGCTGAGAACTGGCACCAGGCTGTGAAGAACAGCACCACGGAGCACTCTGTGCTGTTAGCATTCAGGAACTCCATCAGGTCCTGAGAGGAAGGAGGACGCAGACTGATTGAATCCTCTTCTCTGACATTTTATTTTAGGAATAAAAACATACTGACTCTGTTTTATGTGAATTAGCAGCAACAAAGTATGTGGTTAGATTAAAAGTTATATTGCACTGCTACAGTAGCTTTTAAGAAAGGATTGCTTAAACTTAAAGGAAAAACTGTGTATTGTGTTCTAAGACCATGTGTCAATTTCCTCTCTGTGGATTTCTGTAATTCTTGTTCATAAAACTCCAGTTTGTTAGTATTTGATATATTGCTTGACAAAGAATACAATTACCTCTGTTATTGCCCATTAAGTGTCTTGTCAAAAGCATAACAACAGACATCAAACACTTACTTGTGTCAGCCAGTAGGTAAAAAGTTACTGCAGTACAGAAATGCCAAAAATGTATCGAGGTCATTTAGAAACAGTGTCTCAGTTACACAGTTTGTTAAGCACAAATGACTCAACTGTAAAATGCTGAGGTAGCTCATAACTGCTCACAAACTGCGGCCGATTGTAGTTATGATTATTCGTGACACATTAGTTTACAGCGGGTGAACATTTCTGTATGTGTGTGCAGAATTTACTGGCTGTGTGTTTTATTAAAGATACTGTATTCCTGAACTGTGGCGTTTTGGTAACACATCTGTTGATCTGGTAGAAGCACTGTGGGTTCAAAAGAGCTAAAAAAAATTCTTAATAGTAGTAAATAGCTACCGTAGCCATGTGTATAGTATCATACACTCAACCACAAATGCACAAAGACTTTACTTGCTTTTAATGTAAAGAGAAAATCAGAAAATAGCATTCAGATGTTGAGTATGTATAGGCAGTATGTACCTGTGAAGCGTTCAGGACCTGCACAGTAAAGTTGTCCATTCCTGTGACGTTCCTCTTATCACAGTTCACCTTGTACGTCTTGGCGGTCTCTGTGGCGTTCTGCTCCTCAGTTGGCATGTCCGCATGCACTATTTCAAGAGTGACCTGCAGGTAGACATCCGAGGAGAAGTCAACTTCTGCCCTACGGCTACAACTACTGCGCTCATCACTGCGTTTACTTTAACTGATCTTAGCTGACGCATGCTTCTGTAAAACCAGACTGCAGAATGAAACCTAAACTAAGGCTGCAACTAACTTATTTCACTAACATTTCTTAATGCCCATGTTGATATCTTCAATTAACCAACCCAGAATCAAAGATAATAAATTAAATTTACTATCATATAAGACAAAGAAAAGTAGCAAAACCTCACATAGGAGAGGCTGTAATGATTTGTGTTTTTGCTTACAAAAGGTATTTAAATTAATTGTTTCAGCTCTAATCGAAGCACAGACAGGCAGCTGTTCTGCAGGATTTCAGCTTCTGAATGTATGTTTTCTTTTTTGGGGTAAGATTTAATTATCAGAGGACGTCCAGAGACTTAAAAGTAACCTGCTGTGATGATTCGGAGCTGCTATCCTCCAGTGACAGCCCTACAGCAGACAGAGCAGGGGAACCACACTGGGCGCTGTTCTCATCACAAGGCGGGGAGAAGCCCGACTGGAAGTCTTTCACATTTTTGGGGAAGAGCGACTCGATGTCAGACGGATCGATGGGGGCTTCGGTTCCCATCACAGCATCTGCAATCTCAGCTGTCTTGAACTGCCTCTTGGGCAGAGAGTCCAGGTCCTCTGACTCCACAAACTTGGGGCTGTTCTCCAAGTCGGACACCGCTTCGTCTGACAGCATGAGCTCCAGCGACTCGTCATTCTCTGGAAAATGTCAATTACAGATCAAGATCAGCACATTTTAAGATATTTCTTTCACGGCTGTCCTTCCTGTTCCTTTTGATGGTGTGAGTCACAGTGCTACAGGTAAGCTATTAGGCACTTTACTCTCTTTATTAATCGATTATTTCTAATCTATGTTTTCTTTGCCATAAGTGGACAGTTATCTCCCACGAAGATTGATGAGTGAGTCAAATCCTTGCGGTTAAGGGAAGTTTGGCATTGCTTTGTTGCAGACTTTCTCCAATTTGTTCAGTGATACGTAATCAATAATGATATCTTTATCAGACTAGAGCAGGTCAATGAGTCTACAGTGTCTTCAGTCTCCCAAACTAACTTATTGGTCTTTCTTACAAGCATTTTGTATTTTATTTTTACGTTATTTACCGTGAGTGCATCACTAGCTTTTGAAACTATAACTCGTTTCTGGACGTCTGGCTATGTAACTAACAATCTACCCGACATCATCAGCCGTGTAAATGCAGTGAACAGTAGCAGGTAGCGTTGATAGGAGCTGTTAAATAATCGTTCACTGTTAGTTCGCAGTGTTGTGTTAGCACTGTTCAGCTAAACTGCTGTCAGTCTCTTACCTTGTGCAGCCACAGACGAAAACTTTAAGACATTATTATTATTATTATTATACAATATGAATGATAAGGCATAAGAGATCAGAAGTTTGTTCAAAATCCCCGTCATCTTTTGTCAGATTTAGCCGGATAATAATATGACCGGTTATCACGACATGCTGAGATGTGAGGCTCATAGGAACGAAATGTTTTGAGCTGCGGCGGAAGAAAATAAATGCTGCACCTCTGGATTCTACTACCGGGCTTTAAACCGGCTTCCGGTCCAGTGAAAAGTTAAAAAATAAAATAAAATAAAAAAACTAGAGAGACGTAAATTACTCTTTTTGTGAATTAACGTTACATCATAAAAACTTACTCGTATTTATTTTGGTATTGTAATTTTACATAAAAGCTTTTTTAAATCCATTTAATTTTCTTAGATTTTGTTTTAACTATAGAATATTGTATTTTCTTTTTTCAATAAGCCTAATTTATTACTTATTATTATTATTATTCACAAAATGACATACTATTAATAATAATCTTTATTTATAGAGCACTCTCTGTGGACTTGCCTCAGCAATTTGTTTGACGTAATGCAGTGTGTGTCCTTTGTAGAACACTTCGATCCACAAATTATCTGCTACAAAACACTAAGACAAACTCCTACAATAAAGCTGTGAAGCCCTTTGAGATGCATTTTCTGTATAAAAGGTGCTATACAGGCAAACTTCATTAGTAGCGGAAGCAGCAGCAGCAGTAGTAATAATAATAATAATAATCTTTATTTATAGAGCACTTTTAAAACCAACATTACAAAGTGCTCTGAGTCTAGTAAAAGTGCAGTCACAGTAACAATAGTAGATATACTGGAACACTCAAACCAATCCTCTTCTTGGAATGAAGCACTGCAACTTTATAACCCCACCAGGATTTATTTACTGGCTGTGCAAGGCCTTACCTGCTCAAGGTGTTGTTGTTGTTGTTCCCTCCCTTTTCACAGATCTTCCAGTGTAAAGATGGGCATAATCACTGTGTATTGTAATCTAAGAGGTGAAACGCCCATATACTGTAGACTAGTCAGTCAATAAGGAAACGAGCACAGCTTTTTTCTGGTAACAGAAAGAAACTTACTGACATTCACTGTCGTCTAGAGGAGAAATGGCGCAGCAAGGGATTCAGCTGGATCGAGAAAAACTCAGCTGTTCAATCTGTCTGGATCTTCTAAAGGATCCGGTGACTATTCCCTGTGGGCACAGCTACTGCATGAGCTGTATTAAAGACTGCTGGAATGAGGAGAATGAGAAGGAGAAAACACACAGCTGCCCTCAATGCAGGCAGACCTTCACACCAAGGCCTGTCCTGGTGAAAAATACCATGTTAGCAGAGTTAGTGGAGGACCTGAAGAAAGTAGGAATTCAAGCTGCTTCACCTGATCGTTCCTATTCAGGACCTGGAGACGTGGCCTGTGATTACTGCACTGGGATTAAGCAGAAAGCCTTCAAGTCCTGTCTGGTGTGTATGGCCTCTTTCTGTGAGCAACACCTCCAGCCTCACTACAACGTACCTCTACTAAAGAAACACAAGCTGGTTGAAGCCACTTCAAAGTTTGAGGAGAATATCTGCTCTCGCCATGACGAGGTGATGAAGATATTCTGCCGCACTGATCAGAAGTCCATCTGTTATCTCTGCTCCATGGATGATCATAAAGGCCATGACACAGTCTCCGCTGCAGCAGAAAGGGCTGAGAGGCAGACGGAGCTCGGGGTGATTCAGCAAAAGATTCAACAGAGAATCCAGGACAGAGAGGAAAACGTCAAGCTGATTCAGCAGAGGGTGGAGGCTATCAATCTTTCTGCGGATGAGACTGTGAAGGACAGTGAGAAGATCTTTACTGAGTTGATCCGTCTCATTGAGAAAATAAGCTGTGAAGTGAAGCAGCAGATCAGATCACAGCAGAAAACTGAAGTGAGTCGAGCTGAAGAGCTGGAGGAGAAGCTGCAGCAGGAGATAACTGAGCTTCGGAGGAAAGACACTGAGCTGGCGAAGCTCTCACACACTGAGGATCACCTCCATTTCCTGAAAAACTACCCATCGCTGTCACGTCTGAGTGAATCTAAAGATTTACCCAGCATTGATGTCCATCCTCTGTGCTGTTATAAAGAAGTGACAGCGGCTGTGTCAATTGCCAGAGATAAACTGCAGGCTGTTCTGAGTGAGGAGTCGACAAAGATCTCACTGGCAGTGACTGATGTGGATGTTTTACTGCCTCAAGCAGAGCCCAGAACCAGAGCTGAGTTTTTAAAATATTTCTGTCAGAACACACTGGATCCAAACACAGCAAACACACGTTTGTCATTGTGTGACAGGAACAGAAAAGCAACATTAATGGCAGTAGACCAGTTATATTTGGATCACCCAGACAGATTTGGTGAATGGTGGCAGGTCCTGTGTAGAGAGGGTCTGACTGGACGTTGTTACTGGGAGGTGAAGTGGAGTGGGATGGTTTATGTATCAGTTGCATACAAGAATATTGTCAGAAAAGGGACCAGAGAGGAATGTGGATTTGGAAATAATGACAAATCTTGGTCATTAGAATGTTTTAGTGGTCATTATAAATTCAGACATAACGATATTGCTACTTCCATCTCAGGCCCTCAGTCCTCCACAATAGGAGTTTACCTGGATCATAGGGCAGGTACTCTGTCTTACTACAGCGTCACTGAAACCATGACTCTCCTCCACAGAGTCCAGACCACATTCACTCAGCCTCTATATCCAGGATTTTGGCTTCCACTAAGTATTGGAAGCACTGCTGAGTTGTGTGATCTCAAGTAGACAGGAGTTTAAAGAGTGATTCATGTTGTTTTGTTTATGTTATGTTAATGAAATGATTAAATGAAAGAGAACTAATTTCTCTTTTTATTTGCTTGGGATTTATCTGAAATTTGATTCTCATATTACATTTAAACATTTTCATTGTATACTGTGCATGGAAAATATGACATATGAAAAATCAGTTTTTGTCCTACTTAAAAATCAGTTTGGTTATTATATAAACAGGCTAAATTATTTTTATTTTTGAGCATTTGCCAAATTAATACAAGTTTTAATTTTGTTAGTTTGTATTTGTATTTTAGTTGTACCATTTCTTCATAAACATAATTTCTAAAATTTAATGTTTACTTTTTAGTACTCTACATACTGCTGTCTGTACTGCATACTGTGCTGCTGTTGTAATCATATTGCTAAATCATGTTACTTTTTTAAAATGTACCCAAAAAGTACTTAAAAACAATAAAATTGGCTACTCTGCTGTGGCGGTTAGCTAATCATCTTTTTAAGAGGTTAAGTCAAGTGTCTTTACATGCTAATAATCTTCAGGAAACATTTATGAAAAGTCTGTGTTCAATGTGTGTACAAATAAATAAATAAATATATATATTAATAAGAGCTGACTTGTCATCATTTTAACAGCAATCCTCCATTATTTAAATATCACACTAACAAAACGCTCTATATTCTTCTCAGTATCACAAAAATCAATTATTTTCTGACTATATTTCTTTCCAATCAGTCAGTTTTTCAACACATTTTGCTGACAGACAAACACACTGGGAAATTAATGAAGGAAACAACGTCCTCTTTATGGGGTGACTGGTAATTTCATCAGAAATGGCACAGTCGTAAAGTGATTTTAAGTTTGTGAAATTTCAGGTCTTTACCAAAAGAAAAACATCTCAAGTCAATATTTCAGCAGAATGAGTTACTTTCAGATTTATTACACAACTTTTGAACATTCCACAACAATCATGCAGGAATAAAATGGGAATAATACAAAGCTTTGCAGGCTTCGCCAATCACACTTCAGGAATAACTGGGCTTCACGTCTTCTCAAAAACACTCAAAAGTGTGAGGTAATATATTTTTTAAATCATCTACAGACAACAGACCACTTGTTGATTCAATGCTGAAGATGGAGTAAAGAAATCACTTGAAAAAAAAAAAAAAAAAAAATATTACATGAATCAATCCCTGTGCCTTGTGTCAGCACTTATTTAACTTGAAATATTACAGGAATATCAATAAATGAATCGCGTTATTGGGTCTATTTTAGGTAATCCACCTTCCATAAATCATCATTTCATCCCTTATCCCTTCCGTGATGTCCTCCTTGGAGGGTCAAGATCAAGATTGTTTTTGTAACATACAAGGCCTTACACCTTGTCCGTACATTTAACTAAATATTTTAGATAAAAACTCAAAGCTACATAGTGAAACAGATATACACGGACCTTCAGGGTGCTCTGATATTACATCGTCACACTGCTAAAGAGCTTTGATTTTTAACCATTTAGAACAAGTTTGTTAACAGTGTAGAACACCAAATATCTCAGATAATATATATATTATTTAAAAACAAAACTTTCTTTTTATTTATGAGGGAAATTAAAAAATATGTGACAATTTATTCCTCACAGAACAAAAAGGCTATCAACACAATGAATGTATGCAATATTTTCAATTTATTAAGTTACTGAGTGAGCTGATTGTCAGACTCTCATGTCGTTATTTGTCTTTAAGGGTTTTCTTTTACGTTTTATGAATATATTGTTATATAACTAATTACCTGTAGCTTCCTGGAGTTGTTAGTGTTGTAGCTTTGCTGTAATCTGTGGAACACAGCAAATGCCTTGTACATTTAGTTTTAACCCCATCTCATTTCTCTCTGTGGACTTGCCTCAGCAATTTGTTTGACGTAATGCAGTGTGTGTCCTTCGTAGAACTTCGATCCTCAAATTATCTGCTACAAAACACTAAGACAAACTCCTACAATAAAGCTGTGAAGCCCTTTGAGATGCATTTACTGTATAAAAGGTGTTATAGGCAAACTTTATTAGTAGCAGCAGCAGCAGCACCGGTAGTAATAACAATAATAATAATAATCTTTTTATATAGAGCACTTTTAAAACCAACATTACAAAGTGCTCTGATTCTAGTAGAAGTAGTTGCAGTCATAGTAACAGTAGTAGATATACTGGAACTCTCAAACCAACCCTCTTCCTAGAATGAATTATAACTTTATAACCCCACCCAGGTTTATTTACTGGCTGTGCAAGGCCTTCCCTGCTCAAGGTCCATTCAGCAGTGACGTTTGTTGTTGTTCCCTCCCCTTTCACAGATCTTCCAGTGTAAAGATGGGCATAAGCACTGTGTATTGAAAAGAGGTGAAATGTCCATACACTGTAGATCAGTCAGTCAACAAGGAAATGAGCACAGCTTTTTTCTGGTAACAGAAAGTGAAACTTACTGACATTCACCGTCGTCTAGAGGAGAAATGGCGCAGCAAGGGATTCAACTGGATCGAGAAAAATTCAGCTGTTCAATCTGTCTGGATCTTCTAAAGGATCCGGTGGCTATTCCCTGTGGGCACAGCTACTGCATGAGCTGTATTAAAGACTGCTGGAATGAGGAGAATGAGAAGGAGAAAACACACAGCTGTCCTCAGTGCAGGCAGACCTTCACACCAAGGCCTGTACTGGTGAAAAATACCATGTTAGCAGAGTTAGTGGAGGACCTGAAGAAAGTAGGAATTCAAGCTGCTTCACCTGATCGTTCCTATTCAGGACCTGGAGACGTGGCCTGTGATTACTGCACTGGGATTAAGCAGAAAGCCTTCAAGTCCTGTCTGGTGTGTATGGCCTCTTTCTGTGAGCAACACCTCCAGCCTCACTACAACTTGCCTCTACTAAAGAAACACAAGCTGGTTGAAGCCACTTCAAAGTTTGAGGAGAATATCTGCTCCCACCATGACGAGGTGATGAAGATATTCTGCCGCACTGATCAGAAGTCCATCTGTTATCTCTGCTCCATGGATGATCATAAAGGCCATGACACAGTCTCCGCTGCAGCAGAAAGGGCTGAGAGGCAGACGGAGCTCGGGGTGATTCAGCAAAAGATTCAACAGAAAATCCAGGACAGAGAGAAAAACGTCAAGCTGATTCAGCAGAGGGTGGAGGCTATCAATCTTTCTGCGGATGAAGCTGTGAAGGACAGTGAGAAGATCTTTACTGAGTTGATCCGTCTCATCGAGAAAAGAAGCTCTGAAGTGAAGCAGCAGATCAGATCACAGCAGAAAACTGAAGTGAGTCGAGCTGAAGAGCTGGAGAAGAAGCTGCAGCAGGAGATAACTGAGCTTCGGAGGAAAGACACTGAGCTGGCGAAGCTCTCACACACTGAGGATCACCTCCATTTCCTAAGCAACTACCCATCGCTGTCACGTCTCAGTGAATATAAAGATATACCCAGCATTGATGTCCATCCTCTGCGCTGTTTTGAAGAAGTGACAGCGGCTGTGTCAATTGCCAGAGATAAACTGCAGGCTGTTCTGAGTGAGGAGTCGACAAAGATCTCACTGGCAGTGACTGATGTGGATGTTTTACCGCCTCAAGCAGAGCCCAAAACCAGAGCTGAGTTTTTAAAATATTTCTGTCAGATCACACTGGATCCAAACACAGCAAACACACGTTTGTCATTGTGTGACAGAAACAGAAAAGCAACATTAATGGCAGTAGACCAGTTATATTTGGATCACCCAGACAGATTTGGTGAAAGGTGGCAGGTCCTGTGTAGAGAGGGTCTGACTGGACGTTGTTACTGGGAGGTGAAGTGGAGCGGGATTGTTTATGTAGCAGTTGCATACAAGAATATTGTCAGAAAAGGGACCAGAGAGGAATGTGGATTTGGAAATAATGACAAATCTTGGTCATTAGAATGTTTTAGTGGTTATACATTCAGACATAACAATATTGTTACTTCCATCTCAGGCCCTCAGTCCTCCACAATAGGAGTTTACCTGGATCATAGGGCAGGTACTCTGTCTTACTACAGTGTCACTGAAACCATGACTCTCCTCCACAGAGTCCAGACCACATTCACTCAGCCTCTATATCCAGGATTTTGGCTTCCACAAAGTGCTGGAGACACTGCTGAGTTGTGTGATCTCAAGTAGACAGGAGTTTAAAGAGTGATTCATGTTGTTTTGTTTATGTTAATTCAATGAAATGATGAAATGTTGCATAACTAATTTCTCTTTTTATTTGCTTGGGATTTATCTGAAATTTGATTCTTATATTACATTTAAACATTTTCATTGTATACTGTGCATGGAAAATATTGCATATGAAAAATCTGTTTTTGTCCTACTTAAAAATCAGTTTGGTTATCATATAAACAGGCTAAATTATTTTTATTTTTGAGCATTTGCCAAATTAATTAAAATTAATTAAAAGTTTTAATTGTATTAGTTAGTTTGTATTTTTGTTTTAGTTGTACCATATCTTCATAAACATGATTTGAATAATTTAAAGTTTACTTTTTAGTACTCTTCATACTGCTGTCTGTTCTGCATACTGTGCTGCTGTTGTAATCATATTGCTAAATCATGTTACTTTTTTAAAATGTACAAGTGTCTTTACATACTAATAATCGTCAGGAAACATTCAGTCAGTGTGCAGTGTGTGTACAAATAAATAAATATATAGATTAATAGCTGACTTGTCGTCATTTTAACAGCAATCCTCCATTATTTAAATATCACACTAACAAAACACTCTTAGTATCACAAAAATTATTATATTTCTTTCCAATCAGTCAGTTTTTCAACACATTTTGCTGACAGACAAACACACTGGGAGATTAATGAAGGCAACAACGTCCTCTTTATGGGGTGACTGGTAATTTCACCAGAAACAGCACAGTCGTAAAGTGATTTTAAGTTTGGGAAATTTCAGATCTTTACTAAAGAAAAACATCTCAAGTCAATGTTTCAGCAGAATGAGTTACTTTCAGATTTATTACACAACTTTTGAACATTCCACAACAATCATGCAGGAATAAAATGGGAATAATACAAAGCTTTGCAGGCTTCGCCAATCACACTTCAGGAATGACTGGGCTTCACGTCTTCTCAAAAACACTCAAAAGTGTGAGGTAATATTTTTTTTAAATCGTCTATGGACAACAGACCATTTGTTGATTCAGTGCTGATGATGGTGGGAGAAAACAAATCACTTGAAAAACAAACAAAAAAGAAAAAAAATATTACATGAATCAATCCCTGTGCCTTGTGTCAGCACTTATTTAACTTATAATATTACAGGAATGTCAAAAAATTAATTGCGTTATTGAGTCTATTTTAGGTAATCCACCTTCCATAAATCATCATTTCATCCCTTATCCCTTCCGTGATGTCCTCCTTGGAGGGTCAAGATCAAGATTGTTTCTGTGACATACAAGGCCTTACACCTTGTCCGTACATTTAACTAAATATTTTAGATAAAAACTCAAAGCTACATAGTGAAACAGATGTACAAGAACCTTCAGGGTGCTCTGATATTACACCGTCACACTGCTAAAGAGCTTTGATTTTTACCATTTAGAACAAGTTTGTTAACAGTGCAGAACACCAAATATCTCAGATAATATGACATTAATTGTTTCGATGTCCAGCCATCCTTATGGGGAAGGATTCTTAAATTCTTACCTGAATCTGAACCATGTCAAACATATGTCAATTAACCCAAGCCATAATGACCTAGCTTGCCTCTGTTCAGTTAATATAAACTCGATTGGTTTTCTTTCATCAGTCTTTCTAAAAAGCTGAAACCTTTTCCTGGAGTTTTCTGTCCATATTCGAAGCTAAATGGATGCTATAGTAGTATAGTAAACTTTGCACAGCTCTTTATATTAACTGAGACAATAAGACAATATCCTACATTTTGTTAGCTTCAACAACATCACAAAGTCCCACTAAGCTAAACTAACTTTTTTGTTCTAGAGGAAAGAAAAACTCAAAATCACATTTGTTGTAACACAAACGATGGAAAATCTAAACTCACTGCCTTTGCCAAACACCATTTCCCAAAAGCCTGAGACCTTTGGAGGAATACCCATTAATCTTAGAATATGAACCAGGGATGGAAGAAACCTTCAATCAGAGGGAAATACAGAGGTTGGTGGTAGAGAGGCTAGCCGCTCTTCCACTACGACGCTGTTAAAGCATCATGGGAGCTGTAGTTGTTGAACATTGACAAAATATTCATTCTTTTATGTTCGTTAAAAGACAATGTGCTTTTCAGTAGAAGAGTAGATACCTAGTTAGCCTAGAATATGGACAAAAACCCCCAAAATATTTCAGCTTTTCACAGCAAACATTTTGTCTCGTCGCTGAAGGAGAAGCACAGGTGTTACTAGTAACATAAACGGCCCATTCAGATGTCCCAGTAAGCCGTGACAGTGATCCATCATTCATTATATTATTTACACCTGTGCTTTTCCTACAGTGACACGTCGAAATGTCTGTCCAGCAAACAATGCGTCCCGTCAGGCTCCATCTCATCGTGTGCATCTAAAACCTAAAAGAAAACAACAACCCACAAACATCAGAATGTGAGACCGCCAGGCATCATGTCAGCCATAACCTCAACAAAACAATATCAGTTAAATATCAAACATGGCTACATAACAATTATATATAAAAAGAGAACTACTTTCAAAGTAGAATAACAGATGGATATAAATACGATCAAATGTAAAGAACTTAGTTTACATTGTCAATGTAGCAATTTAGAATGCATTCAAGAAACTGGCATTTAAAGTTATTTTACTAATCCAAACAATCATACTACCTTTTATGGGATAGTGGTCTCCAAGTGCTTTTTTCATTTACATTTTACACAGTAACTTTCATGCTAAGGTTATTTTGTGAGATGTTGGAATATTTCTAAAAATCAAATAGCATAAATGCCTCGTACAGTTAGATAACGTCATATTCTTTGGTAAAGGAGGGTGAAAATTTGTATGTGACATTTCAGTAACCTCTGTTAACACCACACACATCAACGAAACATGTGACAGAAGGCCTTGTACACAAGTATAAAAATACAACAATAATAAAAAGTGATAGTATCAAAGTTTTCACAGTACAATACATACAACAGATTATTGCACCAAATTTAACTATTTTAAATTTTGTCACAAGAGAGCAACTCAGTGAAGCTTATACTGTTTCGCCACTCTCAGGATTTCAAATGCCTGTACATGAATGATACCAAAAAATTGGATGTTCACCAGGGCAAGTGACAAGTAGTCAAATATCCATTATTTTGAATAATTTCACGATATATGATCTACTGTATTTACGGTGCATTAAGCGTGAAATGACAAATATTAAACCAATAAAACAACTGCATCTCCCATGTCTTTCTGTTTGCACTAAATTATTTTACATTAGCATTTCACAAAAACACCTCCCTCCCACCACTGTTAGATTCAAGTGTTCTACAGGGCTATGGTAATGTACCTAAAATAACATAATAAATAACAACATAATTAAAAAAACTAAACAGACATGATTTGACCTTGCCATTGTAAAAATCAAAGCTTGAAAGATTGATAAGCTGTACCATTACTTTAAGATGGAGAAGTTAAAACATCAATACATAATTCTTAAATTATTTTACCTTAATGTGATAAACGTAAACAAATGAGACCATGATTGAGATCATTTGTGGTCTACGTCACACCTCAGATAGTGGCTGCAAGATCTCCACAAATGTGGCTGTTAGTTCTTCTCTTCAGATTTGTTTCAGGGGATGAATGTAATGGAAGAGATTTTTTCCCATTGCCCATTCACTGCTTCCCTCTGCCTCTGATAAAGCTCCTACAGCTTTTGCTGTTTGCTATGGAGGAACAGCGCCACCTGTCTGCAGATTTCCCACCAAATATAACCTGCTGGCTCACAGTGTAAAACCACAGAATAGAGGGCAGCGGTGGCTCACAGTCCTGTCCGTAATAGTCTCATTTGTTTATGATTCCGCATTAAAATACAAATCAAAACATGTATCTTAAGTTATTTTTTTTAAATCTGTGAGTAAGAATAAAAAAAGGATATTTGAGGCTTTAGGTGGGTAAATGTATGTCACACAAGTATCACATTAAATAGATGTTATTGTTAAAAGATAGATTGTGTAAATTAGTTCTATAACTACAATGTTAACTGCCATATCAATCATAGTCAGTGCATTCAGCAACACATTCATGTTACAGATAATATGATATTTTGAATACCAATCTGCTTATTATCTGGGGACAAATAAAGCAAAATATATCTGTATTTGTATGTGAGTTTTGCTTTGTATCTAACTTTGTATCCTTGTTCACACTAAATAATGTAATCAGTGGTTTTGATAAATAAAACAAAAGATACACAGTAATTCTTTGTGATAGACTTTCCCTACAATGTGACAATGTGAACAGGTGTCTATTATAAAGTAAACCAATGTTCTCTCTCTATATATATATATATATACAGTATGGATTAAAACAGTCCCAAAGCTGACCTATTTAGGCAAGAGTCTGTTGTTGGGGCAATAAAATCACAAATTTTGGTCGTATTTTGATAAGATTAGGGCTGGGTGTTGAATTTCAACACTACTAAGAATCGAAAAAAAAATGTCTGTAGCAACGAGAATCCAAAACTGATATCCTAATTTAAAACTGGTTTGGTTTACTTGTTTTTTGATCATATATATTTTTTATATAAATACATTTTTAGCTAATTTAAAAAATCTTTTATTTAAGAAATGCTCTTGTTCAGCTGCTTGGTGTTGACACACAATTAAACATGAAATATTTTGAGGAATGTTGGGCGTTTCGTAAAACAGAAAAAAATTGTTTGTGTGTGTGTGTGGGGGGTTATAACATGTACAGTTTTGGTATCTATAGCAGAAATCATGTAATTGATAACCCGCCCTAGACAACCTGTACCAGGAGTAACTAATATCCCGCTGCTACAGTGGCACCACCAGCAACTGTGTGGAAGCCAAGACGAGCTACCTCAAATTTTACCTGGAATGAAGAGCAATCCAGTACCAAGCAGAACACACAAACACCGTTCATCCAAACATTTAACCACAGACAACTTTTCTGTGGCGATTCAGGAGCAAACGAGGCAACCACGGCCCACATTAACCAATTTTTTGAAGAAAAGCTGAAGATGAACTAAATTGCTGGCAATGTTTATGCAATAGATTAGTTCAGACTTGGATAACAGGTGGAATTTCTCACAGCAATCTGTAAGTTGACTCTGTTGCTTTGATGACATTTCCATGCAAATAATAAAATGCAGGGATTTTGCAGCGTGACATTTGAAGCGCAAACGGTAGTGTGAGCAGGAGACATGTTTTTTTAGTGTTGATTCTGGTGCCGAGTGAAAAAAGTTGGATTAACTGGATGTTAGCCTGAAGGAAGATCTGTGCATCTATCTTTGAAGTGCCACTGAGCAAGGCACTTGACCCCCAACTGCTCACCTGAAATCTCAAAAGCAGACACTCAAAATAAAGAGTCTGAATCCAGAGTAAGATGCCTCCCATTTCACAAATATGACACATAAAAAGGTGCTACATATAGGATTTAGTTTTCCCAACCAATCTAAAGACAGCATTGCTACTTGTCCCTCTCTTTCCTCCTTTCTTGCTTGTTTGTCGTTTGTTTAAAGATCAAGAACAAGAGCAAATATCCAATTACATTAGCTAATATGAAATTCAAACTGTAGTGTGATGAACATAAAATTAAAATCTGTCCTTGATTTGCTTTGTGGCTATCAGTCTTCTCATGATGGTCTCCTTTGTTTACAGTAATGAAACATTTTGAAATGAATGTTTCAAACATTCAACGGTGTTAAAATGCTACATAAAGCACACTAAAAAATTAAACTTGTCATGAACTACCACTACAGTTGTAAGTAAGATAAAAGCCCCAATGCTCAATAAACATCTGGTGGTTTTTCTTATTTTTTTCCCCCAAGAAAACAGACACAGCAATGTGAAGTGAAAGCTTCCACACACTATAGATCTCCAGCAGTAGCACTGAAAAACTAACAGTATTATATCAGGTGGCAGGCACACAGATGACACCAACACGAATAATAGAAAATCTCCTCCTCTTAGCCTCACAGCAGACTGGGAAAGATTACAATCACTCCCCAGTATCTGTCAGGAAACCTGTACACATGCGTCTCTCATTTAACTGATGGAGGGTGAGTAGAAACGCAGAGAGCCTTTTACTCATTAGCTGTCTTCTCTTTGCAGGAAGGTTCACAGAGGATTTCCTTGTGTGGCAGTGGATAGGGGAAAGCCGCTCCGCTGCAGGTGCTACCGTAAGCCAGTTTGTTGAGGCGAGAGAGGCCCTTGATGCTACCAGGAGGCCGTCCGGGGCTGACCTTGTACCCCGCCGCTCTGGTTGTACCCAGCGGCCTTCCCGGGCTCGTCTTGAACCCGGCTGCTCTGGTGGTGCCGAGGGGTCGCCCTGTGCTGGTTCTGTATCCGGCTAGCTTGGTGGTTCCCAAAGGCCTCCCACGTCTGCCCGTCTTCCCGGCAGCCTTGTTCTTCTTCTTGCTGTCATCCGGCGCTTGATCAGTGCTTTTAATGCCGGGTATTTTTCCAGACGAGCGTGAGTCACCACCAAGAACTTCCTGTCTCTGGCACACCATGGACTTGTGGCTCTGGGCGGGTAAGGCCATGGGAGCCAGCGTCATCTGGAGGGACGGAGGGGGAGGAGGGTAGAACTTGTTGGACTGGGAGGTGCACAGTTCAAAGTGGGAGGCGGCGTGGTGGCCGTCCTCTGCCAGGCATGACGGCCTGCTATTCATGCAGAAGTCACTGCTTGTCACCTGACGCATCATCTTCTGCTGGGGGTCAGAAATAAGTTGCAGCTGTGTTATTATCGCACACAGATAGAAGTGCTGATATTTATGTGTAGAATCGATGCTGTTGTCTAGGTAGGACAATGCCAGGAAAAAAATAAAATGAACTGAAGACAGCATCCATACAAACTCCAAAACAATTACACAGCATAAAGTGAAGGTGTTTTATAATATTTTGACCCGCATCATTTAAAGAAACCTGGACACATTTAAGGCTTTAGACTGAAGGGCTTACCTAAAACCTAACGTGTGAGACAGTCCCAGATGTTTCCCACGGAAAAGCTTAAGGAAGCAGCTGTGCTCTTTATTGGAGGTGGGGAAGTTAACTTGACATGCATTTGCCAAACCATTTACTCTTCATCCCTGAAGTCTTTTCTCTTGTAAAACCTACAAATACTTGTTTGAAAACACTTTTGATAAAGTATAAATCTCACATTTTTATTACTTGTCTAAATAAGGTTCCAGTGTTGCAGCTTCTATTGCCTCATTTAGGCTTTTTCCACCAACAGCAAACGGGTTCCGATATGGTTCAAGCTAAATGAATTGGTTTGGAACCTGAAAAGCTGCAGCTGGAACCAAAACAATAGCAGGTTTTCCTTGGGAACCAAAGCGGGTATGTCATTTCAATATCCTCTGTTGATGATGCATCCAATTACAATGGTTCCACTCAATGCAATGTAATGCGCTTAATACCGGCCTACCTCCAAAGTAAGAGGGCTAAAGAGTCCCAACAGCTCTGGCAACACAGAGAGTCTCCTGAATGACTGGAGAAGGTTGAAGGATGAAGACTAACATTTTGGTTTGGCAAATGAACATCAAATTAACTTCCCCACCTCCAATAAAGAGCAGTGCACAGCTGCTTCCTTAAGCTTGTCCATGGGAACCATCTGAACGGGGCTAGCCTTGAGCCGGTTTAATTCTGGGCTTAAACTTCAAAATAAAAGTCCAGATTTAAAGTCTGACACTCACAGCCTTTGTTAACATAATAAGACTACAAATTTCCGACTGGTTTAGAGAAGAGATAACCCTCACTCAAGTTTAGTGTACAAATAGTGTGTAGTGGGAAAAGCCCACCAGTTAGATTTTTAAAGCTCCCCAATAGAATTTTCCATTTTAACTGTCAGACTTTCACAATTTAACACAAAAGGTGTGATTGCATAAAGTTTGTTTTCTTTGATACAAAGTTTTTTTTCTTCTAGTTTTCGTTTGATTCATGTTTATCTCTTTACAAATGAGCCAGCGCTTCTCAATAAACCGTTGTTTTCTGAATGGGGTGTCGTAACTTCTGCCTTGCTGTAGATTTTGCTGTCAGGAATGAGGAATTCTGAATCCTATTCTTGCAACTTTCTTTTTCTTCTCGCAAAATGCATGACTTTCCTTGCCATTGTTTCGCTCTGTCGTGTGTTAAAGATGCTTTGAATCTAAGTTCAAACTCAGCTTGTTGTGTTATGCTGGGTTCTCTGAGCTCGGGTATTTAAACCCTTTTTTTTTATTCTGGCTCCTCACTCGCTAAAAATAAAAAGAGGTCAGAAGTCAAAAGGTTCAAATGGCCTTGTTTTAACTTGGCCTAGAAAAAAACAGGTTTTAGATTCTGACTAAACCGCCCCCACTTGTGAATAAATAAATGTTTTATCAGTGTGATGTAGGTTGGGGGTAATGGTTCTGGAGACAAAAAAAGACCTGGGTTGAGACCTTCAGAACAAGCATAAACCTTACTGAAGTGGTGCTGAAGTTCTTTTGAGCAATATGCTGAATCCCTATCAGCCAGTGGTCTGCTGCTGACCTGACCTCTGACCTCCTGGTGTAGGGGGGCAACAGCAAAAGGACTATTTTCTCTCTCATTACTGGTGTAAAATACACAATAACCTAGTAATTACAATAAGTAACAATCTGACTGTTTACACACAGAACTGTTCTTTAATTCCAACAATAAAAACAACTAATATGAACTAATAAATAGGCTATAAATACTTGAAGAAGGCAAAAAGAAAGGACAAAGTGCTGCTGATGAGATCTTCTGCAGAGGACACAGGATGCAAGGAGGTGTGGACTTTACTATACACTGTCTGTAGTAATATTCATTCACAAAAACATATATATAAATATATATACACACGGATTCTGCATCCTTTGCGTCCAGGCGACAGAAAAAACCTCCTACTCTCCATGTCACTTTGCCCCTGTGCAACGTGAACAACACATACTGCTCGTTTTTTTTTTTTTTTTTTTTGGCCCGAATAACGGGTTTTATAGATAAAATGGGTTAAAATATTGACAAAAGCGCGGATAAGTGCAGATATCCGATCTCCCGGCTCACATTTAGGCCATATACCGAACCTATATGCACCCTCCTGCCACCAGCATTACGCACTAAAGGTTACTGTACCTCGATTGTTCGCAGAATCTCGGCGCAGAAAGGGTTAAGGCGAAAAATGATCTTTCATCCCTCAAAGCGAGAGTCGATCCATTTTCCCAAATATGTTCGCACCACGGGACATCGGCTGACTCGAGTTTAAATCACAAACATCGGCTTGTTCCGGTGGGGACGTGGACGAGACGCGAGATGTGCTCAGATGGACGGGGTTTTTTTTTTATTTTTATCTCCCTGCTCCAGAGGTTTGGAAAAGAAACGCAGCCATTTTCCATTAAAAATTAATAAGACGGGAGCGCAGTCTGAGCATGCGCAGAGCTCGAAATAGGGGACGTGAAGGTTTTTTTTTTTTCCCTCCTCCTTCCCCTCTTGAACCACTTTGACATCCAAAACGTGTTTTTCTCTTTAAATATGGGGGAAATTGTTTATTTGCATCCAACAAGGGGTAATAAAGCTACAAAATACCTGCTTTATTTCTTAATGTTATAATACCGAAATTGAGGCATTATCCAGTTTAAGTTCTTACCACACAGCACTACCCACTACTGATGAATAATATACAAACGAAAGCCTATTGAATAATTAAAACAGTCGGTAAGGGTACACAGTATTTACCAGATTTGATAACACAAACAGCTGGACAAATCAAGTTCATTTCTTTAGCAACACATTGTTTTTATTGTGAGGAAAAGTAAAAACATCTTTCATCTGAGGATCTCTTCATAAAGACAATGGTTGGTATGTTGCTTGTACATACAACAGGGAGAAATCTGACCAATTAATGACATTAAAGAAAACATGTCTTATACTTAAGGACATATTACAGATAGCTTACTGTAGAACGGTGACAGATAAATGACACTGTAGATCAAAACGCCAGCAGACATTTATGGTCTGTACTTCACTGGAAACTCAAGTGAAGCACAGAGGAAAATAATGAAGGAAACATTACCCACAAACAAACCCATAAACTAAACTGATAATGTAACTGAAGGAAACATTATTAAAAATATAGACGAAAATATTCTTCAACCACTCTGATGAAACTGTAGAGATGAAAGGAGACTGTTGAGAGATGGGAACTCCCCCAGCGAGCCTTGCTTCCTCCTCTACAACACTTTGTACCGGCCTTTGCTCGTCGGCTGGTAGGAATTTTGCTGGAAAGAAAAAGAAAAATATACAATTAGTAACGTTTTTCATGGATATTTGCTGAACAACAACCCCCCCCATGTTATATGTTCCCTGCTCTGAAGATCTAGTGCCAGACAAAATATGAAACAGGCTCCTATTTAGCCCGATAATCAGCAGGATATCCAGTACTGGTTATTGATTTTAAAGAGACAGAAGATACTTACTAATCTGATGAGCTCTTCCTTGATTAGTCGTGTAATCTCCGTTTTGGCTTTCTGCACAGCCAGTTCATTTGCACCTGGAAAACAAACACAACATTAAGATACAATATGTAAATCAAGTGCAAAAAAAACAAACAAAAAAACAAGAGACTCCATAAGAAATAAATTCAGAGCTCAGAAGTAAAAGAAAGGATTCTTGAAGACTTTAACGCTGACAAATACACATACTTTCAATAGCCAGGTAGATCTTGCGTTCTCCCTCCTTGGGCTCTTTGCCTGGAGGGAAATAGGTTCCTCTGATGGTGATGGCAGCTTCGGAGTATTCACCGATCCTCTGCAGAGCTTCTTTAGATGTCACCTTCCACCTGGCCGTCTGAGAAAGAATAGGGAACGTTTTATAAGAGAGATTATTTCTAAATTTGCACTAGTTTCCAAGAGGAAAACAGTAGGGTGATACCAATTTCTCCAAAATCCCAAAACAAATGATTCTTGATATTTGCTACATTTTTCAACATGAAATTAAGATTTTGCAAATCATTTTTTCAATGTTTTCTCTGTGCCATTTGGCCTGCTCTCTTCGGAGGAGCCCACTTGGAAAAAGGTGAAGACAAACTTCTGAGCACCAGTCATGGTTTAGCAACATTGTGAGGTTGTTTGTTTGTGTTGCCACCACTGTCAAATGAAATCATGAGTGAATGCTAAACCTAAGGAATGTTTCAATGTTAAGTTTCTTATTGAGTAATGGACATTTAATGTTCTACAGAAATACTTGACTGATTGTTGGAAACCAAGTTCAGTTAAAAAAATTTAATTGAATTGGAAAACAAATAAAGAAATTAGGGACAATTAAAGAGAAATATTTGATGAGGTCTTTGCGCTTAGACTCAAATTAAATTTTTTGCCATCAGTCTAAATTTCTATAGCATATCTGTTCCAGGACACTAAATGGTAAAGTTGAATGTGACTGAACAGAACTACAACTAGTGGTGTTAACTAAACCTCACCTGGCTCAGGAAATATCCCAAAAAACCCAGATGCAAAATAAACCAGGAATCTGTTAAATACACTCGTACAGCCCTGTGCTGTGTGCAGCTGACCTGAGGGAAGTCATTAATCTCCAGCTCCTCTTCGTATCTCTTGATGGTCTCTGCCTGTTCAGCTGCCTGCCGCTCCTCCTCCAGCTTCTCCACAGGGGTGTAGTTCAGCTTGGCATTGATCTTCTCCGCCAGCTGTTCCGCGATGGTCTTGGCTGAAACCGAGGGTGTCATGATGGTGCCGCCCCGCAGGATAGCGTTGGTGGCCTGCTGCATCACGTCCTGTACATGAAGAGAAAACCAGTTTGACTTTACACATGAAACACAAACTGACCAGAGAACACAAAAACATTTAAAAAGTAACTATAGTGAATGTCGCTTTCCCTGGAGGTCATCATGTTTAATCGCCATGTTTCTATGGTAGCCCAGAACAGACAAACTAAACACGGGTACTAGATAGGGCTGTTTGCATTTTTTGCACAGTTTCTGGCAACCGGGGAGGGTGAAGCGAGATAGTTCTGTAACTATAACGCTAAATGGCACAAAAATCCTACACACTGGTCCTTTAAGGTCTCTTTTAATTAAGTTTCTGGCTGACTGGACCAACAACCTGAAGGCAGTGCTCAGACTTATCAGTTGAACTATATACCATGATGGAAAATACAGTAATTGCACAATAGTTCAAAATATAGTTAAAATGTTCTTATTAAAACTTGGGTTTTAAAACCAGAATCCACGATTCAATTAATTAAATGCTTTTATTTTGGCTCATGTCTAGAAGTGAACACAGCACATCAGATTTTTTTTTTTTTAAAAACCCCACCCTGGCTTATAAATTTGGATGTCAGAGTCTAAATGCTGTTGTTAAACTGACAACAGGTCAACTTGCTCACTAACATATATCTGAATCTTAAGTCATAATCAGTAAGTACATTTTGTGATGCTTTATAGATGTAATAATTAGAGATGAAAAATTCTTCTCTGTCTTTTCTTCCGACATCCCACATATTGCAGTGAAAAGAGACAAACCTGACATATTTCATCTCTATTTGACGTACCTGAGCCTCTGCGCCCAGGTTCTTCTGAGCGTTGATCTTGAGCGCCAGCCTCTTGGCCATCTCCAGTTTCTGGATGTTTCCAGCCGATGTGGGTCCAAGGCCTGGCAGCCCTCCCGGGACAGTGGCTGTGGCGGCAGCTGCTCCTGCAGGACCGGTGGCCCCCCCGGGAGCAGACAGATCCTTTACCCTCTTCTTGGAGTTGAACATGCTCTCGATTTGCTCCTCAATCTGCGGAGGGAAGATGATTGAGATGGGTTAGTATGTTGAGATGATTATTTGGTATGATTTTGTAATTGGACAGCATACTTAAGATACTAAAAAGGAAAGAAATCTTTAATCTGATGCTAAGAGTTTAACCGAATTAACTAAAAACATTGAAATAAAAACATTACTTACATCCAGGGCTCCGTCCTCATCGTCAGAGTCCTGCAGTCCAAGAGCAGCTTTCTGCAGCTTCTTCCTCTCATTGGCCAAGGCATGTTCTGTCTCATCAAACTTGAAGCCTTTTCCTGAGAAGCCACTGCTGCTCTTAATAGTCTTACCCTCCTGCATGGATGAAGGAGGGAGGACAAAAAAGAAAAGAGGAAAATGGGGGGGGGAGAATTGTAAATTAATTCTCACATAGACCATTTTTAAAGCAGTAAAATAATTTATATTCAGTTTCTATATTACCTAATTGGATCTACTTGCTAATTGAGACACCGCAGATTGAATATATTCATCCCAAATCATTTTAGATATTGATTCTTAGTAATTCCCAAAGGAAGAGATGGATGGCTGATGGGTGAAATACAGTCAGCCTGTTAGTACTGTGCAAGTTTAAAGAAATACTGTGCCCTGACTTAAATCAGGGGATGGCTTAGATTTCTGGTAATGCCATTTGTTAAAATTTCTGAAATTCAAACAATTATCTCCTGCTGCCACTCCATGTGGCTCAGTGCAGCTTTAAGCTTAAACGCACCTTTGATTCACACACACTCTTAACAGTTTTCACTCTTTTCTCTCATCTTACCGCTTTCTGTTGGTCTTTGAAGGAGGCCCAAAGCTGCTCCAGTTCAGGCGGGACAGGAGAGCCGGACAGCTCCAAAGCTTTGATGATGTCACCAGCATATCGAACCTGATCATCAGTGATGAAGGTGTAGGCGTAGCCCTGGAAAAAGGAAAGGAAAAAATATAAACTTTCAATGGACATTAAAGCCATTTACAGAATCAAAAATAAGCACCAAAAATGCACACTCAACATAAATTCAGTTTTAAGTAACTGACCTTGTTGCCTGCTCGGCCTGTGCGTCCGGCCCTGTGGACGTAGTCCTCGTAGTGGTTGGGACAGTTGTAGTTGACGACCAGGATCAGTTGCTTGACGTCCAGGCCTCTGGCTGCCACAGAGGTGGCCACCATCAGACGACATGCTCCATTCTTAAAGTCGTTGATGACACTGTCTCTGTCGTACTGGTCAATTCCTAAGAGTACGACAGGAAAGGAATACATTAAAGGCCAAATACTACACATGTCCATGGCAGAAAGCTGTTATTCTTCATTTTACATTGAGATTAATACTCAAGTAATATTTGTTAACACATTTACGTTGACATCTCTGGAGTTTACTGTCAGAAAAACAGTAAAAATATCCAAGAAGCACCAAGATGTAATTAGTGCATCCCAAAATGTGACCCTCTCACCTCCGTGCAGTGACATGCATGGGTACGAGGCTTTCATCAGGTCTTTTAACAGTCCGTCTGCGTGCTCCTGCTTGTCCACAAAGATGATGACCGAGCCTTTCTCCTGGTAATGACCCAGAATCTCCAGCAGCTTCAGGAACTTCTTGTCCTCCTCAATCACCAGCTACACAAACAAATGCAAGA